GACGACAGATGATTTGGCTAGCTGTTGTGGCTGCAAGCCTAAGAGGAGCTACTGTTGGGCACTGCGTGACACTGACCGCCACAAAGGCTTCTCCTTGTCGCAGGGGTCCAAACCAGCGCAATCCTCGGGCTCGGCCTCATCCATGCTTGGGAAGCGGGCTCAGACCGGCGCGAACACAACTGTTCAGTGTTGGAGATGTCTTGCCGAAATAGGGGCCCACATTGCCCTAGGGGTCCCCAATTGGTGGGAGAGACGTTGTGACTGATATTTCAGGTCACGGCGCTACCAGCGGAGGGTCGTAACCAACAGCCAGCACTTCGGTCCTTCCGTCTTCCGCCCAGGCTCTTGGGCTTTGGTCCCCAAGGTCTTCGGATCTCCTCGAACACGGCTCTTGACGGTTTCGTGGCACCTTCCCAACGCGGGACCTTATGTCAGGCACTTCGGGACCCTGGGCGAAACAGGAACCCCACCTTCGTCGTTACTTTAGAAATGGGCCTTCAGACTTAGACTGCCGAGGAGCCGGATGTTTGGTTCTGGTGGTGCCCAACCGACAGATTGGCTCTTATCGACGCAGGGGTCCCCTGCAACGCATGCAAAGAACTCTCTGACTGGTATTTTTAAGCCCAGCCAGCAGCGTCAGGCACCTTAATGCGACCCCCAGTCAGACCTTTGGGCACTCAAAACGGGACATCACTCGTCGGTACCAAGGGGTCTGAACGAGCCCTTGGGAATCCTAAGGGAGAGGGCGGGGGGGGGGGGGGGGCGTGCTATCCGTGCCGCCGCTGTCTGTGCCACGGGGGTATCATTGTGTGAGATTATTCAAGTGGTATGCAGGTTTTACAATTGACACTAAAAACTGCAGGGCAAGGCAATCCTCGGGCTCGGCCTCTGATGCCGCTATTTCCCTTTTGTCCAATTCCCACGCAACCTATGGTGGGTTCCCCGTTGCGACGATGATGCGAAGCTGTGCAGCATGGGTAAAAAGCGCATCTGCACCTGTCGACGTGCTGCGACATATATCAATGCATAAACTGTAAACGATTTAATGGCGTGGTGTTCACCTGTGACTTACGTGACACCGAAACTGCTGCGCCGAATCACGCCTGATTGCCGCCAGAGATGAAGGAGGACGTAGGCAACATGCCTTCTGCGTCGCCACCACAGATTCAGCGATAAGAAACTGCCAGTTACTTTCACCGACTTTGCTTTACCGTCAGCAGCCATTGGTTGAGAAAAGGCAAAATTTGGAAAATTCTAACCTGCGCTTTATGGCACAGGTGTGGCTGTTGAACCTTCGGTGCCGAGCTAGCGCCGATATGCTGCTATGTTGCATAACGAGTGATTGAAATGAGCCATTCTCTACCGATTTCGAGTCCCGAGATGCAACTGCTTGTCAGTTCGCTGGGAGAAATGAAATAGCCCTGCTGTGTTTCGATCGCGCCATACCTAAGTAGGGTGGTATGACCTCAGCCAAATCAAGAACCTAACCTAACCTTTGCATTTGAGTTTGCATTTTCTCAAGGTGCAAGCAATATGCACAGAAGAACATATTAGAGGCGACGGCCTTGGTTAAATCATACACCTCCCCCTCCAACAGACTATTTCTAACAGACTAACAGACTATCTAACAGACTATTTCAAAGAGTATATGCTCTTTGGCTAAATGAGGATGCTGTGTCACAAACATATAGATGTCACAATGGGGTCAGGTCAAGGTCGTTCCATTACTGTGATAATTTGGTGTATTCATGTGATCTATGATTCACAATATTTTCACATTCATTTTGATCGAGTTACACAGCTTAGACGTCAGCTACAATTTTATTCTGGTCATCACATAGTCAAGATGTATGTAGGATGTCAACATGAAGCCATATGAGGCCAACATGACATGCAGTATACTAGTCATGTCATGCATGTTTCCGGATTGCTTGTCCCACAGGAATCCAATATAACCACTTATAATCTTGCATCAGGTCATCTCAGCACCTGAAGAGATCAAAACCTGCTGTTTGTTACAACTTACTATGACCTTTGGAAGGCATTTAATAGCCATGTGCAGGCAAGGAAATTGATTTTGAAACTGCTGCATAAAAGCTACCATGCTGTTCATGTCTTATTTGAAATGCTGTCCTCATAATTTTCAAAGAGGTAGAAATTTCAATTTGGCAGCAATAGGGGAAAACAAGCTTTCTTGTAACCATTAGACAATGCCTAGTACACAGCCTGCCTTTATTAATAAACGCATAACACATGCCAGCATGATTTTCTTAATACCAGGGGGTAAAGACACTGTATGGCTATACAGTGTCCTTATTCTAAATATCAATAACAATGGGACATAAGTAAAAGACCTGGTCACAGCATTTATTTTGTAAAACAGCATGCACAGTTCTCACTATTGGTGGCTTGGGGCACCAATGCATGTCCATTGTCTATCCACAGCAGCACAGTCTTGTGACAGTTCTTCTCACTGTAAGGACTGCAGACACCCCTCTTTCCACACCTCCCTCTTGGGTACCTGTCTCTGACAATTTCATTGCAGGTCCCTGGTATATCTAAGCAAAAATGTAGAGTGCTATCGTTATCATCAGATTTCAAGGGAAGGGCTAGCCTTTATGATACCTTTGATATAATTGGATTCATACAGCAGGTTATGAAGCCTGGGCCCCAAAGCATACAATACAACAGCTACAAAAAATGTCATCTGATCACTGTCATGGAATTTATACATCCATCACATAATGTGCTTATGTGCGCTCATATACCTCATGAAGGTACGTGATGATGAAAAATTGACGCAACATGGGATTCACTCCCCAAACAACCATAATACGTAATCAGATGAGATTGCAACCTAATCCTATACATAAATATTCACAGCATTATGTTTGCTAGCTGTCATTTGTACTGCTCATACCTCATGCCTCAAAATGACTTTGGTGTATTTTCCACCACCAGGTTCATATGTCTTCAAAAACGCAGCTATAGAAACACAACATACACAATCAAGCATAGTGCAAGACAGCAGGCAAAGCACTCAACTTCCTGCAACTAGCGGCCCAAAGCCGCCTTACACTAAAATCATGCAGAAAAACCTGTGCCTTTAACATTAGCAACGGGTTAACAAATGGCTACCGCGCACACAAACAGCATCGTGTACAATACAATTCTTTACCTTTCGTGCATACCACACAAAAGCTTCAAACACGTCATAATTGAATCCAACATATACCGTCCCAAGCCCTCACAAAACATCAATAATATGAATTGAGAAATAGCAAGCGACACGCAATGGCGTGACGTCCGTCAATCCAGCATCCCAATGTGATACTGCGGGGCGTCTCGGTTGCCTCCAAAATTGGTGTGCAAGGTCTTCTCAACACGCTGATTCCGCAAATCACTTCCTTTGGGGTGGAATTTTGCGTAATTTTCGAGTTATAGGCTGCGTAACGTTCCAATGTGATATTGCGGGGCGTCTCGATTGCCTCCAAATTTGGTGTGCAGGGCCTTCTCAACACGCTGGTTCCGAAAATCACTGCCTTTGGGGTGGCATTTTGCGTAATTTTCGAGTTACACGCTGCGTAACGTTCCGATGTGATTTTGCGAGGCGTCTCGATTGCCCCCGAATTTGGTGTGCAGGACCTTCTCAACACGCCGATTCCGAAAATCATTGCCTTTGGGGTGGGATATTGCGTAACTTTCGAGTTATACGCTGCGTAACATCCCAATGTGATATTGCGGGGCGTCTCGATTGCCCCCAAATTTGGTGCGCAGGGCCTTCTCAAGACGCTGACTCCGAAAATCGCTGCCTTTGGGGTGGAATTTTGCGTAATTTTCGAGTTATACGCTGCGTAACATCCCAATGTGATATTGCGGGGCGTCTCGATTGCCCCCAAATTTGGTGTGCAGGGCCTTCTCAACACGCCGATTCCGAAAATCACTGCCTTTGAGGTGGAACTTTGCGTAATTTTCGAGTATACACTGCGTAGCATCCAAATGTGATATTGCGGGGCGTCTCGATTGCCCCCAAATTTGGTGTGCAGGACCTTTGGAGTCAAAAGGCGTAGAATGTGGCAGCTTTAGAAAGCTGCCCTAATGGCAGTGAAACCTGCAAGATATTAATGCTGCCTAATTACGTGATTTTCCTTAGTTGCCCACGAGCCTGTTGCTTTCCATTAAAAAATTTGTGAAGGATGAGGAAGTGCAGTACCGTGGGTTGGAAGGTGTAGTTATGGGTTGCAATGAGCAACGGTATTTTATACATGAAATTTTACTTGGCAATCCTATTTTTGGACACTGTTGGACGGAGAGCTGATCCGTCCTGGTGGTTTCGATTGGACTTTGGACAATCGTTCCCGGAAAAACGTCTGGTCAGGAAACATCATCCCACCATTACACAAATGGAAAGTGATCATTCTCGCTGCCGCTGCTTTTGATGCTCATGACCGTACTAAAGCGTATCCGTGGTCCGTGAAAAGCCGACTACTCTGGGGCTTCAATCAAGTTTAGGTTTTATTTCCTACCATTTGTACACATGCGAAGTGTATTTTACGTTACCAACAACACCCTAGAAAAGTTTGACTTCATTACATTTTCGGCCTATGGAAATGAACATACGACACAATGCTTGACTATGAGCTAGACACATCGGACCTCACAATAAATAAGTTCTAAAACACCACTCTCAAGGCCACCATCACCTGCTTCTCTCGCACTTATGATTCCTGACATTCTTGGAGCCACACACGCCGCGCTCCTGTGAACATTTGATGCAACGCAGCACAATGACCCTGCCACACATCTTCGCCGCTAGCCAGCCAGTCATCTCGCATGACGGCCATCACAGGAGCACGAACACGCGACAGGCAATGGCAGTAAAAACATCGCTTCACGGAGGAAGAGAATCATCAGCGATACATTGCCGCGGCCCCAGTTCGTTTCCATCCCCTGCCTGATCCACCGCGTGAAGCAGTGCGGGATGCGGGCAACAAAATCCATCAGTGACGCATGGGGACGAGGCTGGTTGCCGTCAGCGCCTGGATAAGGACGGGGTCGGTGGCAATCAGCGCCCGGCGCCGCACGTCATGTGCCGTCCCATGCGTCGGCATGCAGTCGGCTATCAGCTGCTTGGGCCGCCTGACCACCGGTGTGTCGCCACCGCAGTCCGGCCGGCTCGCGTAGTGCGGTGTCTCCACCACGGTCAGCAGCAGCGGGCTGATGTGGCCGGCCAGCCAACAACATGGGCATGGCGTGCACAACTAGCGTGCGCAGCTCCACCAGCGTCACCAGCGTCCTTGGGAGTTAACACAGGCGGTGACATCACCCAAATCTTCAGGCGGTGAGGCACGATTGGTTTGGTCACAAGCGACATCTTGTCAGTTTTTGGTTAGAACAAACAATGATAGTGACTACGTCGGATTATTACTCCACCACCTTGAAGGTCAGAAACGAAACAAAGCTGAGAAGGATGTCACTGGGCCATACCACCATGCCAATGCTACCACATACCACACGGTTATCACTTACATCTCGCGAACTGACCTTCTCCAGTGAACTGATACGGACAGGCCCAAAGGGGAATTCCAGGACACATATTCCAAAACGCATTGAAGCCTGGCTTCCCAACACGCATCTACCAACTATGCATATGGCTATCCCGTCCAGTGAATCTAATATCAAATTATCCATCAGTAAGTTCGTCTACATTCAAAACTGGATCTACTAAGAGCAAGCGCGTTTTCACCCCGAAAAAAGAAGGCATATATCACCTCGCCTGACCCCGTGTTGTCTCGCGGCCTCTTGAAGATGTTAGCCTCCGACCCGTCGTTGTCGGCTGCCGCCGTGGCCAGGAGCTGGCCGAATAGCATCAGCTTTACCATCAGCAAGCGCGTCAGCAGAATCAGGTGAACCAGCATCACCATGGGGAACGGCTTGCCAGACGCCTGCTCCCCAGACACGGCCGATGGCAAGCCCGGAATCGGGCTGACAGCTGTGAACACGACAGTGCCCCGTCAGACCAGCGATCGGTGCAGGCGTCGCGACGAGACAGGCTTCAACGACATCGAGTCTTACAAACATCGCCTGTTACAATACATAACTTATCAGCAAGCCAGGCCACCAAAACGTGAAACATTATCATTTTATGCCATTTGCATTATGCCATAACATGAGCTGAAGATATGTCATTGCGCAAACATCACCAAGTGGTACGCACATCGCGTTGAACGCATCTAAATTGAGACCAAAGCTTAGCAGAATTCTGCAGCATGAATACCACATACAAAAGCGTAGAGAAAGATCCCGAATAAATTCAGCAAGTAACACAACCGCTGATATGTCACTCGTGAACAATATCTTAACCAGATAGAATCATTTTAAATATTCGGCAGCCAGTTGATAGCAACCACAGCGAGTTTGGGGTGGTTCAAATTGTCACCACAGATACTTTACAGCCTATTCTCAGCGGCGGCACGGCAAAATGATGAAAACGTTCACAGTGGCTATGCACCGCGTTCTAAAGACCGCTTGACCGTCAAAGTCGCACGAATCGACAGCTCAACCCAGTGTTCTAATATTCGGTCACTTGGGTGGCATGTATGCGGATACTTTTCATGTTATTACACCCCGGCTTGTGGCTCACTGCCGACTGCCCATCCCCTTGTTCAAAATCAGCCAATCAGCATCGGACTGCGCGGCTGTGAAACCAGTATCTATGCACCTCAGGCTTGACAAATGCACTACGTAGGTCAGGTGTCTGGGTCGGGTCAAAGGGCAACGGATTGGCGCGAGCCAATTGCGTGCGAGGCCGTCGCCGGGTAGCCAGGATTCTGGTAGCATTAATTTATATTTAAATCCCGCACAGCCCGCTGAATGCATTTTGGAACGCTGGCTGAACTACATCCACAAGTGAGACCCACCATCGCGACATACTCTGAGCGAGCACCGTCCGATCCAATCCTTCCGTGATCCCATGCCGGTCCGCATCCCTCGGCGAGCTCACCAGTCTCGGGCGCCGCCCTGAAGACAACCTCTGCGGGAAGCACCATAACCACGCCGTTGGACTTCATTTTGGCCGGCTGGCTGTGGCAGGCGGCGGCCAGTGTGGCACCGTGACGCGCCTGGAATGGCACCGGCGTTAGCAGCACGGACACCTGGCTGATGCCGAACGCCGGCCACAGAGTGTCCAATTTCAGCTCCAGCAGCGACACAAGGTATGCTTACACATGCCGACGGCCATGGGGATGGATCAGACAGAACATTCTGGGGCAGCCAGGGACACTGGTCAGAGCGTCCTTGCTGGGGCAGCCAGAGACGCAAATAAAAAGCACAAGTTCCAAAGATACCAGCACGATGGCACGGCCAGAAGGCACAGGTACTGCGGAAGCAAATATACATCAATGTGCAAAAAAGACGACAAACCGCAAACAAGATGCTGTTAACTGAGAAGAGGTGAACAGAGCAGCCTAGTCGACTCGATTTGGGAGCCAACGGAGGACTGTTCGTAACTATGCAAACTCAAATTCTCTGACCTTACTCCGAGACAAGTATTTGGCTAAGTAGTGACCCCCATGTCGGTATATGCACCTCATCCCACCCATCCCCTTACCAAATGTAAGGCCATGCATTCGTGCGTCCGTAACAGTATGCTGAAAGCTGAAAACTGCATGTAAGTCCGCAAAAAAGAGAAGATCAACAAAGTGCAGCATCCATTTCAGCAGTTCCAGGTACGCAAGAAACGGCGAGGGCCGTACCGCGGTTTTCAGTTGGAGTTGTGAAAGCGTTGGAGTTGTGTCCCGCTGGTGAAATTTTGGGTGCGCCTATGCATAAGTGTCACATATTTCTATCGGCCGTCAAGCCGATGTCACCCTGCGGAACGGCATCGCGGAACGCCTTGTGGGTGCCGTTTTTCCTGAGCGGCGAGGCACGGCACTACTGGAAGTTCGTACGCCTGTCCCCCGTCGCCGGCCACGTTGACTGTCGGCTACACCGGGCCTGAAGCCGAGGCCCGGCGGCCGGGCGACCGAGAATGTCCCATCAAGCGTCCCAGTTGTTACAGTTGGGTTATGCGCCCGCGTGAAGGGGGAGGGGGAAGCAGCCAGATCAGAATCAAGCACAACGCGAATTGTAAAGACCGGCCTTTCGGGCACTTTCGTGCCCTGACCTCAGCGGGGTGTGAACTGCATCTGTGAGAATTTGTGTTTGGTTTGGGCCGCGCGATCATCATAGGTGTGGTCATCAAGCTTAGGTCGAATCACAGCATGATGCATTTAGGGCTTATTTCCCATGACTTAGTTTTATCATTGAGTTAATCGATCTATTTTGTCAATAAATAAGGTGCACTCTTGTGCTTGTGTTTATGCATTTCGTATCTCGTTGCCCGCAAACCCCATGACAGAACGCAAACCTCATTAGTGTGGAAGGCGGCATCAGGAGGTGATTAATGAAGCGTGTCACGATGCACTGACAGGGCCCGTTCGAGCGTCTGGGATTTTGCACAGTCCTCACTATTGGTGGCTTAGGGCACCAACGCATGCCCAATATCTATTCACAGCAGCACAGTCTTGTGACAGTTCTTCTCACTGTAAGGACTGCAGACACCCCTCTTTCCACACCTCCCTCTTGGGTACCTGTCACTGACAATTTCATTGCGGGCCCTGGTATATCTAAGCAAAAAAAAGTATATTGCTATAGTTATCATCAGGTTTCTAAGGAAGAGCTAGCCTTTATGATACCCTTGATATAATTAGACTCATACAGCAAGTTATGAAGCTTGGACCACAAAGCATGCAATGGAGCAGCTACAAAAAATGTCATACCTGATCACTTTCATGGAAATTATATATCCATCACATAATGTGCCTACATGCACTCATATACCTAAGGACGACGATGTGATGATGGAAAATTGATGTGACATGGGATTCAGTCCCCAAAACAACCATAATATGTGATCACACAAGATTGCAACCTAATCCTATACATAAATATTCACAGCATTATGTTTTCTAGCTGTCATTTGTACTGCTCACATCTCATGCCCACCATTCGTCGTGTTTAAGGCGGAACATATCGTAAATAATTTCAAAACAGATAGAATCATGCTCCTACCCTCGAATTTTAATAACTACGATAGCGAGCTCCCGAGCGCCGCACGCACCGCACCGCACCGCCTCGACTCCCAAGCGCCGTTTCTGCGTTGTTGCGAAAGCACAATATTTCTGCTTATCAAGAACCATAAAACATGTACGGGACCAAGGTAGCAATAATCAAGCAACCAAAATCGTTTCTGATCGAGTTTAGGAACATTTATGAAGCACACAGGCCAGAATAGTCCAGAACATATCCTAAACTAGCCTAACCTAACCAAACCAAACTTAACCTAACCCAACCTAACCTAACTGAGAATAGACCAGAACTTAAGCTAAGCTAAGCTAACCTGACCTGACCTGACCTGACCTAACCTAACCTAACCTAACCTAACCTGAGAATAGACCAGAACCTAAGCTTAGCTAAGCTAACCTACCCTAACCTAACCTAACTAACCTAACCTAACCTAACCTAACCTAACCTAACCTCCCCACCCTATATCCCCTTCAACCCAGCATCACATTGGCGTCCATGTTCCATGCCATATATAGGTGCCATGTAGTGAGCTTTTATTTAGCTGCCATGTTCTCATTTTGCTTCACATTCCCCACCCAATCCCCCTGCAACCCATGGTCCCGCTGGCGTCGAGGATCAAATTTCATGGATTCTTGTTACCTTGGCCCGGTACATTTTTATGGTTCTTGATGCTGCTCGATGCGCAGTTATGTTGTGACCCGCGCAGTAATGGCGCCGGTGTCGCGGGTGCTGTGTGTGTGTGCGGCACTCGGGAGCTCGCCATCGTAATGATAAAAAATTGAAGGTAAGATCATGAATCTACCTGTTTTGTGATTATTTACGATATGTCCTGCCTTAAACACGACGAATGGTTTACTTTGGCCCCGTACATTTTGTAGAGTTCTTGGTAAGCAGAAATATTGTATTTACGCAACGGCAACGCAGAAACGGCGCTGGGGAGTCCAGGCGGTGCGGTGCGCGCGGCGCTCGGGGGCCCGCCATCGAAGTTATTGAAATTCGAAGGTAGGGGCATGATTCTACCTGTTTTGAGATTATTTACGATATGTCCTGCCTTAAACACGACGAATGGTGTACAATGATTTTTTTCTAACGTTAGGTAGGAAAGTACACCCTGACCCCATAATGCAGTAATTTTGCACCACCAGGTTCATACATGTCCTCAAAAATGCAGCTATAGAAACACAACACACACAAGCATATACAAGACAGCAGGCAAAGCTCTGAACTCCCTGCAACTAGCGGCCCAATGCCGCCTTACACTAAAATCATGGAGAAAAACCTGTGCCTTTAACATTACCATCAGGTTAACAAATGGGTGCCGCACACACAAACAGCACCGTGCAAAACACACTTCTTTAGCTTTCGTGCATACCACACAAAAGCTTCAAACACACCATAATCTCAGGCACAATGCGATACACGTGGCCTGGCGCGTCGCAATCAACTCGTGAGTTGGTTATATTTCCATACGGCGCAGCGGAACATGTTGAAACGCTACCGTAATTCGCTGCACTACAGTACCACAGTGATCGTTTGATGTTTATCACGCATAGAACCAACTTCTCGCACAGGATTCTGCATTTTTGCACTTCCTTGCCTCCAATGCTGCCAATGCATGTATGCTTGACACGTACAACCATCTGAAATATTTTTGGAGGGTGTATAAGCTCGGTGCGTAAACACCCTCCGTTTTGGAGGGTATATAAGCCCGGTGCGTAATCGCCCTACGTTTTGGAGGGTGTATATGCACAGCCACTCAGATTTATTGTGCACATGTACTGAAATGGTTCTGAGGGTTTTGCTGTTATGCTTGTATGATAACCTGTATTTTTGAAGCCTGGAGCAAGGCTGTCAGCCATCTAAACATTTAATAGTAATCCTACAGGCTTGGGCTGTTAAAAGTACTGCTAAGTGCAATTCTTTCCCTAGCTTAAGAAAGCTGCCTGGGTCTGTGAGTGTTTGTTTAGTAAATAATATGTTTAACCAGAATGTGTCATTCCAAGTGCACACATGTGCAAGATGGCAAATTTGGTTTTGTTCAAAGGAGAGCTTAACCTGCCATGAAAAGGAGCAGCATGCCAAGCCAAAGGTATACCTAGTTTTGCATAATGTTACCACAAAGACTTCTGAAAATCCTCATCTAGCTGTGTGTTGAATTACATGAGTGAGTGCATAGTGTGTTTTGGAAGAATGAAAATGTTGCTTGATCTGTTAAGAATCAAGGTGTAGGCTTGCAACTGATTAGTTCCACAGATGAGGCTATGAGACATTACCTGCCCAAGTTTGCCATGTCAGTGGTATTGATATTCCAAGACAAGTGCAGGGATGTGCTCCATGATCAGCTGCCAGTTTGTTTTGAAGTAGATTAGCCCAAGGAGAAAAGTGAATGATGGAGCTGTATCATTTTATTTGGAAAACGCTATGCCTGTTTTTGAGCATGTAAGTGTAGGAGTTGAGTGCTGAAAGCCAACTCTTGTATATGATCCTGATTTCAGTTCTTCTTTGCCAAGACAATATGAAATAGGCAGTGTAGATTGACTTTCATTTTATTCCTAAAACAACAAGAAAGGCAATTTTCTCAAATATGTGATGGAACTGAGCCCATTCCATGTGATGATCCATGGGTGTAACCAACTCATGAAATCCTTTTGATCAACCTGTCCATAGTTGGAGCATGGGTACAATTGGGAGCAACAGGTTTTAATACAGTTTGAGGAAGTATGTGATATGGGCCAGGGGTGCGTGAAGAACTTGAGTAGGTTTCAAGCAAGGACTAAGTAATGGGAATAGCATAGCCATGAGAAGCAGCCCCATGATCATGGAAACAGATTTAAGAGTGAAAATGCACCAGGGTAAGGCAACATGGAGTTAACCTGGTTATATGTCTGTTTCATCCAGGCCAGTTATGAATGTAGTGAAATTGTGCTGTTCATGACACTTGTCACGTTTGTTTTTGAGTTCTTGCAAGAGACAGTTAATGGACATTGCATTTCAGAAGTTTTCACCATGCCTGTGATTGATATGACAATGTCAGCAAATGTTCACATATGCTGCCTTACATTTCCCTGTATTTCAGAAACTTCAGTGTCAGTACTGTGATTTCCAAGGCAGCGCATTGGCGGTAGGTGTTCATTGTGTACGAAAACATCCGGAGCACTCCCGTCATGAACAGGTAATCTTACAGCTGTTTGGTAGATTTGGTCTTGTGCATTTTGTGTAAGTAAGCATTCATGTGGCAGGCTAAGTGCAACAATCAAACTGATATCAATGTGCAATGATGTTTTTACAGTCACTTGTTTGAAAGCAAGACCTGTCTTCACTGCAATGCTACACAGGTTTCATGGGTGAGAAGCACCTTTGTTCATTTAGCTTCCACTGTGAGATTTCCTGGATGATTTGATGTAATGTGTTTGGTTATGCATGAGTGTCTTGTAAATGTAAAATAGCACCACAATTTTTCAAGTTAAAAGTCAAATACCAGTCCCTTTCAAAGCAGTTGAGTCCTGATCCAGGTCTGCACAACCGGGTGCTGGGTGTCGCGGTGACAGGAGACAAACACATGCTGATAGAGGAGGATGTGGGCAACTGTATCTCCAAGTCCTTTTCCACTGTATTGCGAATATTTCGTTCATTCGACTGTTTCGTTCATTATTCTTCATCATGTGCATTTTGCTTCACACATCAATGTTCGTCGGCCTGTCGCTCTTGTGCGGTATATCACGAAGTGGGAGGCATCTTGCTCTAATATGTCACGTTCCTGCCTCACCTTACCGTTGCAGCGTTTCCTCCTATCTAGCATTCAAATGTCACACAATTGGGTTCCAAAGACTAAATGACTGAAATGGTAGTGTTTGTCCAAAAACCAACATGTCTGTCCGAAGGTAAACATAGCCTGTGTCTGAAGATCAGCGTTATATCTGTCCGAAAGTCAACATGTCTGTCCGAAGACCACCTATTTTCATTTATCAAAAGGCGTACTGACGCAACCGTGATTTTTCAGAGTTTCAAGCATGGAAGGACCAGTATGAGGCTGACACCGGAGCGGTGTACAACATCGCTTCCAGCCGACCCCGGAACGGTACAACCGCCCGCCACTTGTGCTCCCGTGTACCTGTACCGTGTACCTCCCGGTCCGGCGTGTACGCACCGGCGGGGACCGGGAAGAGGCGGCTCAAGTCGCAGGGCATGTGCAAGCTGGGCTGCCGCTGCACGTCGGATGTCATGGCGACTATTCGAGAGGACGACACGGTGCTGGTGACGGTGCACCCATTCCATTATGGCCACAGCATGGGTATTAGCAACATCCCACGTCAGGATCCCCAGCCTCCACAAAGCTGCCATTAAGGGTGAGAGTTGAGAAATGGTATGCTGATATCAGGGCGTAGGATTGCTCGCCACGACTTCAGTGTTGTGTGAGAACAACTCATGCAAATTGTAGCTGTTAGAATATAAGCTTGTAAAATTTATCACACTGTCATTGGGGTTAGGTGCCCAGTACAGTGTCAGCTCGTCAGAAGTCATTCACGCATGCAAATCGAAGTACTGCCAAAGCACTGATCCGAATGGCGTATAAAGTCAAATATTAACGCCGTCGTCTTCGCTTCCAGAAAAGCTGCTGACTGGGGTGTCAATGTCTCGCATCATGAAGGATGTCCGTGAGGCGTTCTGGGCTGAAGCGGCAGCAGGCACCAGTTCCAGTCGTTCATATTGACTCCAGCGGCGCGACCTCCACAACATGTGTCGGTCTGTCGGTATCACAGCAGCGGATGGCGGTGCGGTGAAGAACCGCAACGAAGTGATCAGCGTGCAGATGTTCGCAGAGGAGATACGATCATCGGATCAGGTTGGCAAATCGGCGATGATTCGCGTCATTGCACGTAGCTGGCATGTCGACAGCGGACATTTGAATTTCATTAGGCCCGGACCCGCGCGGTTAGGGTCATGGGTTTTGGAGCTTCAGGGTCATGGCTATGGACATGACAATGCTTCGATAAAACCAGATCAAGATCCGACCAGGCGTGGCACCTACATATTATCAGCTCATTTCCACTGCGCAGGGCACGAACATTCGCAGCTCATTTATTCGTACGCACTATTTAACAATAAACAGAATGTTTTCGAAACATTTGTACTCCCATGTGAGGTGTGTGTGGGATTGTGAAGCTGGCTATGCGCAATTGAACGCAAACCGTCGGTGCACCAAAGTTGAGGCGTTCGTAATGATTGATAAGTCGGCAGTAGGAGGAGCAGAACCGTAAAGCCAACTTTGTATTGTCTGCAAGTCATTAAGCAATATCAACACTGTTCCACGCACGGTGTTAAATCAGTATGTACCGAACACAGGCTTGTTTCGCCCCATGTTTTGACAAATGCGCAATCAACATACCAATGTTTTCGAAATCCTTCCATCGCAGTCGCTATGAACGTACGTCAGTTTAAATTCCTTTACTTTCTGAATGGAAATCGCGAAGTTTAGTCAATTTTACCGGAATATCACCGGTAGATGTTGAAGCGAACGTTAGGTCGCCTCGAAGCCCCCAAAAAAACTCCTGGCAGGGGAGCAGCCCATTGCTTTGAAAACTTCTTCATATGGATTATCAACTGCACTTTTACTCCCTTGTATTTTAGTATCGTTTGCGTGACATCACTGACGTCCGCTGTGAATTGGGTCGTCCTGCGTCGCGCAGGGTAAGCTGCTGGTGGGTATACGTATTTGCTTCAAGCGTGGTCGTCAGGTGGTATTCGCTCTTTATTATTTCAGCAGCACCTGGTGGCCTTCAAACCTCCAGGTGAAGCGGACAGCAACGGCGCGCTCCGAGATGAAGACTTCGTGCTTGCTTCCTGCTCATCATCTCAGCTGGCGAAGTTCGTACAGCACGGTGCAAAGTTTGTGTGCATGGATGGCACGCACGGCACCAGCGGTAATAATTTATTTGCCCTTCATTCGCTAATGGCGCATCCGTTATTCATTCACTAATGCTTCGTACTTCCTTAATAAGCATAATGCTACGGTCTCCTGTAACTGGAGACGTTCTGGATGGTGACAACTTCTCTCAATGCAATACACTTTATCTGATAGTTGAGACTACTTTCGTAACTGGCCATAGGCTACCAGGGGCGCGATATGCAGATATGACGGAATCAGGTAGCAACGAGGCTTCAGAATGCAACAAAGCAATGGTATCGTCATTCGTTGGATGTGTGTAATGAAAGCAGCGCTACACCTTGACTGCGCGAACCGCTTTTCGTTCACCTTTACGGTAATTGTAAACGATGATGGATACCATGTGTCAGCAATAGGCCAGATCTCCGCGAGGCTGTTGGTTGAACGGAGAATGCAAACAACATCCGTCAGAACATACACTTTGTCAGGGACAACCCGCAAATGTACAGCGTACCAGTCCTTAGATGTAAGGGAGCGGTGTGCTATTGAGTCCTTTTTATTTTATGCCATTTCTTCAAGTGTGCATAGCTATTTTGGTACACTGCAGCACGATGTACGCACGCTGTGTGCAATCTCCAAACATGTGTCACTGGGCAAGTTAGTGTGCGTATTTTTCCACTCTACAGGTCACGATTTTCATCTCATAACGCTGCTGGTGGTGACGGAGACGGGAGCCGGCATGCCAGTGGCCTGACTCATCTCGAGCAGAGAGGACAAGCCTGCCATATCATCCATGCTGACTGGCCTGGTCCGCACCTGCGAGGAGCTGGAGCTGCCGTTTCCCACCGTCCGGTTTCTTATGACAGACAAGGTTATGGCCTTTTATAACGCCTGGCTGGCGAGCACCCGCCAGCATGACACTCAACACATCCTCGGCGCCTGGCACGTCCTGAAAGCATGGAAGGGCAAGCTGGCGATGGTAACCGTAAGTTGTTCTGTTCGCCACGCGAAATTTGGACTATAATGCTTCAGGCACGCTGTTTGTGCAGTGGACACGGCCGTGACTCCACGAAGTATTCGTAAACCCCAGAGTTGGATCGTGTGATAGTCTGACAGTCCATGGGGACCAGCACTGTCTTCATAACTTTTGCTTGGTGTTCCCTCAGTCAGTATGTTGCTGCGGTGCCAGGTCGCCGATATCGAGACCTGTTTTCGGCCGGTGTACCTCACCTTTTCCATTTTTATCGAATGGGAAGGTGCAGCAACAGTGCACTGCAGCGTTCCACAAGTGTTTGTCCAAATAGCTGTTAGTAGCTCAAGTGGCTTATTCATACATTTTGCTGGAAACGACATGACCGTGTGGCCGTAAAATGTTACCAGAAGTGTAGCTGGCCGTGGCTAGCGGGACTTCCCGTTCAGCTGAGGTGTTGAGTCGCTTCAAAGCGCTGACATCTCTGAAACGCCCGACCTCGTTCGGAGTAACCTGTAGTGCTAAATGGCAAGCTCCCTTACCCGATTAACTACAAAAAAGCCTGTGGAGATCCGTCATGTGGAGAAAAGAGATCGTCATGGGTTGATTTGCAATCGTACGTGCTTCACGGAATGAATAAGTGTGCTCAGTTCAGTCTGCGTGAATTGCATTTGCCCTAAGCACGTGGGTTCGAATCCCACCTTTGGCAATACTCTACTAGCCAGAGACCGGTGTGCTTTTGGACAATCGCTATGTACGCGGACATAACTAGTGTTTTATCCACGGGGTTAGACATACATTTATAATGAGCATGTACACATCAATGAACTGGGTCAATATTTATGAATGGATGATTTCTGCAACGTGTGCTGCGCAGACGGAAAATCGTACCGTACCGGTAACGGCCCTCCTCGGATGAAGAAAGTGGCATTTTTGGTGGGAAGATGTTGACCATGCTTACCATATTTAGGCTACGAGCGATAACCTCTGCCCACTTCATGTCCGTCTCGTTTCGTGCACAGAAACTATTAACTTCCGCTCGCCATACAGCATTAATTGTTATGTGGCCAGAGTTCTTATACATGATATTGTCAAAACTTAAATTCTAACATTCTAATTCTAAGATGGTGATTTTGTCAAAACTAGACGTTTCAAGCTGTGCTTACCATGGTTTGTGACCCCATGATCGCTCGTGATCGTCTCTGTTCACTGATCTGATCAAGCACCCGCAAGCACTGGTTTCAAGCTATGTTTGTAAAATATAGTAAGACTAGCAAAGCAACATGACCTGTAACCCCGCCCCTATTCATTTAAGATGGAAAACTTTCCATTGCCAATTTGTAACAAAATCTTGAGAGCATAGGTTGAGATCAGATCCCGATCTTCACCAACCGGCACCACAGCATCATATCAAGGCGTAAAAGTATGGGCACATTAGTGCATCAGACGACGCGCTCGCAAAGAACATGGAATCCGCCTGTTTTGTAGTTTTTTAAAATTTGTATGGCCTTCAGGCAACCGGGTCAGGTGGTATCTTGAAAATAGCCGCACGTCGCAGGCGAAGGGGCTTCTAAAAATCGTTAACGATTTAGAGACGTTATAAAGCACAAGGTATTGTGCTTTATTGTGGATCACCGGGAGCAGGGCCAGTACCTGACGGGAGGACATCTGAGATTAACGTCGGTATGGTCTTCCCTGAATGAATTTATTTAGATTGTTTGACGTTACCGAGACCAGAGAAAAGGGCTTGCAAACAGTGCGGTGCATAGGGACGCAGACATGTAACACAGAGCGAGCCATTGCCTGTCAGACACATTTAGGGGATACGGCCACTTCTAGGTTCAGTGCACTGATGTAGCCTTCTAGAAGGGTTCCCAAAGGCGATTGGCTGCTTTCGCTTTCACTTGCAGGCCTTCTATAACCTGGTGCACTCAACTGTGGAAAGGCGTCTTGCCCCTTGAGGGATACGACAAAAATCAGCGTCATACTTCAGCGCCAACCGGCACCAGAACCCTTTCCCACGGCTCGCCACAGCTCGCTATGGGCAGGCACCCCCAAGTTGTTTTGTGCCCAGGAGTGATTTTAGGTTAAATGGCAAACATGTCGCTGGCGATGACGTTGCGTTTCGCAAGAACATCCTACATGCTGTTTTGGGCGACGGTAACCCAGACGTGAGACTTGACCAGCACTGTCCAGCTTACTCCCTTACTGTTCGACGGTTCCGCTTATTATCAAACGGCGTATAACCCAAGAACAGGGTTTGACCTCACGATTCTTGATTCAAAATGTCAAAAGCTACGGCCATTCCTGGCTCAGGACTGGTGTATTGTGTGGTGTTTCAGACTGCACGAAATCGTTTTCCGCTTTGGAGAAACACGAATAGTTTTGAAGCTAAAGGAAGACAAACTTACATGTTGTCCCACTGGCTTGGTCACGTCCATGAAAGGTCATGCGATGCCCGATGATAGCAATCTGATATAGCTTTACGCGTGCTGCCAGATGCCACTTTTTTCTTCATTACTTTGTTGACTTTCAGAAGTACCAGCGTGTCTGCAAAGCAGTCTGGCCTGGAAAAGACGAGACTAACTCTGGTCCGTGATGCCTAAATGTCCCGTTGCATAATTTGCAAGCCCAAATCCGTCATTTTCCTGCTTCCCTTCCAAGCTCTGAGACCTGTGTCCTTTCCAATCTGCATCCTCTAGGACCTGGTCGCTCGTCAAGAAGTTTATGATGCCCTCTGTGGTATCATGCACGAACCGGTGGAGGAGAAGGCGGTGACTGTTGCTCACGAGCTGGCCGACAGCCTGATGACGCACGCCAACACCCGGGCCTTCGGCGAATATCTCCGAAACACCTGGGTCGGCTGCACCCGGAAGTGGGCCCTGGGACTCCGGAGTGCAGAAGGCATCTCCACGACCATGCACCTGGAGGCCTTCCACCGGGTCTTGAAGTACCAATATCTCAACGGAAGGATCAACAAGAGAGTTGACAAGTAGCTTTCAAACATGATGCAGTTTCCTCAGTGCCTGCACACAGCGCTCACAGTCCAAATGAGCGTCAGATATGCGGTCCTTACGAAATAACGCCCCGTTTCGTCATAATACCGTTTAAGGCACGGGAACGACCAATATTTTCACTACGTTTGTATGTCTGCCAAATAGCTATATGCATATCTCGAGGCCGGCGAGACACTTGCTGTGGGTGTCATTGCCCTCGGCAACATCACTGCAACGCCAGAACGTCGCACGTCCATAACACCTTAGGTTGTTGTTAGAAAAACTACTAGAACCCTTCTGTAACACCAGGGACACGTGGAAACCGCTTTTTACGGCACATCAACCAGCAATCACATTCTTCCGTCACGGAATTGCAGTCACTTTGTGAACAGCTGGTACACATATTTCCTGCGATGCATTCCTATGTGCGCGTTGTCGTGCGTTGGTATACCCGCTCGCAACGTCTTGTATTAAAAAATGTTCACACTTCAACATTTACCATTCGATTCCACGTCCCTCATAATATTTTCTATACAAGGCCCGGCACCCTCTCTAAGCGGTGTATTGTGTCCAACTCTACCATTAAGCTACATATATTGTTTGTCATAATTCCAATTTCCATGTGTACTTAACATAACCTGGTAAAAAGCATGACACGTGCCATCCAATAAACATCCATTCAGTCCAGTCATAGATCATACTTACCGGGATTACCATAGAGCGCTGTTCAAAGGTATTGATCACACGAGCACGAGTGATGAGTTGATATGACACGAGATTAGATTAGTTAGAAAGGAATTACTATGATGAAAATCAGGACAGAAATATAAATATTAGGTAGCTCTAGACAAATCAAATACGTTTCCGCCGCCGCGTTTCTTTGATGAGAGTCGCCCACACGTGCGTCCTTTGCGTCAGGTTTAGGCCACTGGCTGCTTTGTCCAATGGACCATATGGAGAACAAAAATCGACAGAAGCCACAACAGTAGAAGGTGGCCGAGATACTGAGGCAACGTCATAGCATTACATTGCATTCCAGGTGCACCGCAGGTCTCCTCAAGTTCGAAACCGACCACATGGTGAAGATGGGCCGCAGGCAGCTGTGACAAGCTCCAAGCCTGCACGGCGAGCAGATCGCCAAAAGGCATGCCAAGGCAGCGGCCCTAGTGGCTTCCGGCAAACCCAGCGCCGTATCCGTTCCAGCCAGTTTGCTGCCTACCTGGAACGTCGCCAGCGGCGACGCCACGCCGGACCACTCCGTGGAACTGGAACACCGCCGTTGCGCTGATCAGTCAGTACGCCGCCCACGTTCACATCCCGTCGTCAGAAGCGGCCAAGATCGCAGTCTGCCCAAGTTAGACCCGATGGCGCAACAGCTCGGGCCATCGTGGGCTCTCTGTGCGATGGCAATGTTGGCCGGGGGCAAGTCCACTGTATCCACGTGGATCACGCGTACCAGGCGGTCAGCAGGTGATAGATGCCAGCTGTTGACATGGGCTGGTGTTTGATATGTGTGTATGAAACTTCAAGTGTGGTAATACAATTGCGAGTGTACCCATAATTTACAAGTGCATCAGAGTATCATGACACATTGTCATGGTGAGCTGTGGTGAAGTCATGCCAGAATACAAATTTATAAAGAACATAGCCATATATCATGCAGAAACATTCACAACAATAGCTCACTTACCATTAACGAGCCAGTTACATCAGTTGCTATCACCTAGCACAAGGTCACTCAGAGTCAGCATATAGCCAACATATCTTACATGCAACAATCTGCAGCTACTGACCTGCCAACAGTCCTTCACCAGTCACTTACCATGCAATTTAAACTACCACAATGCATATGTTTGTCTACATCATGTTGTATGCAAATACAAAGAGTCCAAAGAGTGGCCTTCAGTTTGCAATTTTGGTTGCCATTTTCAGCATATACAAAATACAAGTTGCATGGGTGATATTACATCAAGTGAAAAGTGAATCAATCAGTCTGTGCTATGACAACATGGCAGACATTGATACTGATGGACAAGAGAATCACAATGCAGCTACATCATTGCACAGTGGGCCAGGGAAGTAAATGGTCAGAGATAATAACCTGGCAGTTGGTCTGCATGGGTCCTTCAAGGAAGAGTGGAAAGCTTTACAAGAAGCTAGATGTAAGCAATTATCCCAGGACAGCATGTTGACATGTTACATGTTCTATCTTCCTCATCATAGATAGGTATTTAGGAGCAATGTGACATTTAAATGCATCAAATAAACATGTTCAAACATCACCAGCAGAGCCAAACAAATCTTACCATGGTGCACTAAATGCCAAAAAATATTCTTGAGACAAGTACAGCATACATATGATCCCACAAATCTTTGAAGAAGTAATTGGCATCAAGTATTTGCAAATGTCACACAATGTGAGTACATCACTTGCACATGTTACATAATGCAAGTTATCTTATTCTGAAGTCATGTTATTATGTGATATAAATTACCTGACAGCCCTAAGGTACAATTAACAACAGTGGTTCTGGGATGCTGCCAGGACTGTCTTAAGGAGGCAGAGGTCAGTGAGCACACATAAAAAATTGCTCCACTTTTTGAGATCAGTCTATGACACAAATCAAGTGTGGTGTAAGGGGGGAGGGAGGGTATGTCACCCTTCTCAGACTACTCGCAGGCACTGACAACACTTATGATCAACTACACATCATTCTTGCTACTTGGAATATGAATCAGCTGCTTTGCTATCTTTATGCTAAATATATTGATGAAAAAACATTAAATGCCAGTCTAGTATCACCAGCACCTAGCCAACCCGATTATGAAAATCTCTCATATACAGCGAATACACATATTTCAGCTTCATTCCCCGTTGTCCTCAATATTTTTATATTTTTTACCTAAAACCTAAAACCTAAAACAATATTTTTTACCTTTACAAAGAGTTATTAAAGGGGCTAAAAATGCTCTTGAGTGGTGGCCAATTTCAGGGCTTCAGCCGCACCCATCATCTGCGGCCTCTCCCGCGACAGGCGGGAGCTGTGGCAGCGTTTTTTGTTGATCAAACACTGCAGGGCCAGCAAAATGGAGCAAGTGGCCTTTTTTCCAGGCAGAATCTTCTACTCCCATCGCCAGACACATGTTTCCAATCGACGGAGCCATTTAGGCCACTGATCGGGGTGCGTCCGATGCCATCCCTTCTCCGGTTGGATTTAGAACTTATGGCGGGCAATGGAGCGTGAAAATAACACATCAAAATTAATATCCTCGTCGCTAATCTTGTTCCATACACGCTCAGTGCAGAGCAATGGGAGTTTATTGCCCATGCAGGCTTTCATGCACGACCCCACACACGTTGCCTGGCGCGATGCTATGAACTCGTGAGTTGGTTACATTTCCAAACGGGGCAGGGGGACATGTTGAAACACGGCCGTAATTCGCAGCGCCATAATACCACTGATCGTTTGATGTCTATCACGTATAGAACCAACTTTTCGCATGAAATTCTGCATTTTTGCACTTTCTTGCCTCTAACGCTGCCAATGGTTGGTTGTACGCTTGACACGTACAACCATCTGAAATATTTTTGGAGGGTGCATAAGCCCCATGCGTAACCGCCCTCCATTTTGGAATGTGCATGAGCCCGGCGCGTAACCGCCCTACGTTTTGGAGGGTGTATACGCACTGCCAAAGTTGAAACACGGCTTATTGCACCTGATGCTTAATTGAATACCAGTGACGTCATATCGCTATCTGATGCCTTATGGCCCCAGGTCGGCCCAAAAAGGCCCGTAAAAACTCATGACCAGTGACGTCACACATTCAGTGGATTACCAGTGACGACATACCGTTAGCTGATGCCTTTTGTTTTTCACTCAGCCAAAAACAGCCTGTAAAAACTCATGACCACACACTCAGGTGTTTCGGCAGAGCCATCATTCAGCTCGCCAATTGTTTAACAGG